CTCGTAATAGTCATTTCCGCCCTGGGAAAAAGTCTCTGGCTATCTACTCTATCTTTGCCTCTTGTCATCTTATACACCTCTGTATCAAGTCACCTCTCATCCTTCTTCGCTCCAATGAAAAAAAGCCTTGGCTCCCTCAGCCTTTTCTCATTGGACTTGCCCTCTCGTCCAGGCAGCATCCTGGTAAATCTCCTCTGCACCCCCTCTAAAGCTTCCACATCTTTCCTATAATGAGGTGACCAGAACTGAACACAATATTCCAAGTGCGGTCTAACCAGAGTTTTATAGAGCTGTAGCATAACCTCGCGGCTCTTAAACTCAATTTCTCTGCCAAGGAAAGCCAACAACCATACGCCTTCTTTACAACCCTATCAACTTGGGTAGCAACTTTGAGGGATCTATGGACGTGGACCCCTAGATCCCGCTGTTCCTCCACACTGCCGAGAATCCTGCCATTTACCCTGTATTCGGCATTCAAATTCAACCTTCCAAAATGAATCACTTCACACTTTTCTGGGTTCAATTCCACCTGCCACTTCTTTGCCTAGCTCTGCATCCTGTCAATGTCCCGCTGCAACCTACAACAGCCCTCCAACGCTGTCCACAACTCCACCAACCTTCGTGTCATTGACAAATTTACAAACTCACCCTTCCTTTTCCTCATCCAAGTCATTTATAAAGATCACAAAGAGCAGAGGTCCCAGAACAGATCCCTGCAGCACACCACTGGTCACCGAGCTCCAGGCTGAATACTTTCCATCTACTACCACCCTCTGTCTTCTATTGGACAGCCAGTTTTGTATCCAGACAGCCAAATTTCCCTGAATCCCATGCCTCCTTACTTTCTGAATGAGCCTACCATGTGGAACCTTATCAAATGCTTTGCTAAAATCCATATACACTACATCCACTGCTCTGCCTTCAATGTGTTTTGTCACATCCTCAACGAATTCAATAAGGGTTGTGGGGCATGACCTGCCCCCCTCAAAGCCTTGACGACTATTTCTAATCAAACTATGCCTTTCCAAATAATCATAAATACTATCTCTCAGAATCCTCTCTAATAATTTGCCCACCACAGAAGTAAAACTGACCGGTCTGTAATCCCCAGGATTATCTCTATTCCCTTTCTTGAACAAGGGATTGACACTTTCCACCCTCCAATCATCTGGTACTACTCCAGTGGACAGTGAGGACGCAAAGATCATTGCCAAAGGGGCAGCAATCTCTTCCCTCGCTTCCTGTAGAAACCTTGGGTATATCCCATGTGGCCCAGGGGACTTATCTGATGAAGGGTCTAGGCCCGAAACGTCAGCCTTTCTGCTCCTATGATGCTGCTTAGCCTGCTGTGTTCATCCAGCTCTGCACCTTGTTGTCTCGGATTCCCCAGCATCTGCAGTTCCTACTATCTCTGACTTATCTATCCTCATGTTTTTCAAAATTTCTAGCACATCCTCCTTCCTGACATCAAGGCAGCATTTGACAGTGTGGCATATGGAAGTTCTAATACAATTTGAGTAAATGGGAATTGGGGTGAAAAATCTCCACTGGTTTGAGTATTATTTAGAACAATGAAGCTGGTTATGGTCATTGGAGATCAAACAGGTCAGACTCTGGACATCACATGCAGGAATCTTCAAAAGTAATGTCCTAAGCTCAATCAATTTCAGTTGTATCGTCAATGACTATGGTTCCTTTGTTAGGTTTAAAATGGGATGTTCGCTGACAATTACAGTATTCAGTACACTTGTAATTCAGATACTCGAGTGTTTTCTTTTAAAATTCATTCATGGGATGAGGGCATCACTGGTTAGGCCAGCATTTATTGCCTATACCTAACTGCCCAGAGGGCAGTTAAAAGTCAACCACATTGCTGTGGGTCTGCAGTCACATGTAGGCCATGCCAAGTAAGGATGGAAGTTTCCTTCCCTAAAAGGGCATTAGTGAACCAGATGGGTTTTTCTGACAATTGATGATGGAATCATGATCAACATTATAATTCCAGATTTTTTTAAAAATTCAAATCCCACCATGGTAGATGGTGCAATTCAAACCTGGGCCCTTGGGACATTATCTGGGTCTCTGGCTTAACATCCAGCAATGATAATACTAAGCCAACACCTCACCCCCGCATACCTAAATTCAGCAAGGCAACATTCAGGCTTAAAAATTGCATTGAATCATATAGTTCAGAAGAGGGCCTTTGGCCCTTAAACTCTGCACTGCCAAAAATATACCACTACCTACATTAGTCCCACTTTCCTGCACTAGGCCCACAGCCTTGAATATTATTCAACTTCAAGTGCTCATCCAAGTACTCCTTAAAGTTTCTGAGGTTTACTGCCTCAACTGCCTTCCCTGGCTGTGCATTCCAGATTCGCACTAACTTCTAAGTGAAACAGTTTTTCATCACATTTCCTCCAAACCTGCTGTCTTTCACTTTAAATTAATGCCCCTTATTTACTGACCCTTCAATTATGGGTAACAGCTGCTTTCTATTCACCCTATCTACGCCCCTCATAATCTTATAAACTTCTATCAGGGTTCCCCCTCAAATCTTCTTTGTTGCAAAGAAAACAGCCCCTCCCAAGCAACATCTCTTTTGCACTCCCTCCAATGTAATCACATCCTTCCTGTAATGTGGAGGTCAGAACTGCTTCAGTACTCCAGCTATGGCCTAACCAAAGTTCTGTACAGCTTCAAAATACCCCCATGCTCTTGTAATTCTGCAACAACTGATAAAGGCAAGTAACAGTCACAGCACAGTACAGAAGCATCAGGCAATGGCCATCTCCAACAAGAGAAAATCCAACAATTTGCCCAAGATGTTCAAACTATATTATTGATGCAGAATCCCCTAACACCACCCTGTGGGGTGCCACTGACAAGAAACTGAACTGGACTAGCCTTATAAATGTTGCAGCTACTACAGTGGGTCAGAGGCTAAGAATTCTGCAGCAAGTAATTCACTTCCCAATTTCTAAAGTCTGTTCATCAGCTGCAAAGCATAAGTCATAGTTTTGATGAATGAGTGCAGCTCCAACAGCATTCAAGAAGGATATTGACCCAGCAACGGTGAAGGAATAATGAGGAAGGGTCACTGGACCCAAGAAGCTTGACACTATTCACAACAAAATAGTTTACTCGATCAATATTTTATTCATCATCTTGAACCAACCATTTCCTCCACCACTTTTTTTCAATACCTTCAGCATGCATATTCTACAGCAAGTCAATAGCAGTCTTTTGTTAGAACCTTTGAAATCTCCAACTCCTACCAGTTAGCAGGACAAGCTCCACTCCAGTATCTCACCATCCTGACTTGCAGCTACATCATTATTTCTTAATAAAAACCAAAAGAACTGCAGATGCTGTAAATCAGGAACAAAAATAAAGTTGCTGGAAAAACTCAGCTGGTCTGGCAGCATCTGTGAAGGAGAAAACAGTTAACGTTTCGGGCCAGTGACCCTTCCTCATTATTCCTTCACCGTTGCTGGGTCAATATCCTGGAAGTCACTTCCTAACAGCTATCTTGGTTCACTTACACACCAAGTGGACTGTGAAGGTTTTAGGTGGCACACACCGCCTTCTCAAGGGCAATCAGGGATGGGCAATAAATGCTGGTTTTAACAACAATGCTCAAATCTGGTTAACGAATAAAAATACCTAAAACTCTGGTGTAACATAGCTACATTATATATGCTGATGTTAATGGAATTATTTCCATAGCACCTCCTGGCCTAGCAACTCTGTCACCAAGAAAGATAAGATCAGTATCTTGAACACCATCACTTCCATGTCACACACCAACCTGAACAGCCACTGTTTAGTTACATTCCCTACTTAATACAAATGTAGAAGCACCACTGCCAAATGAACTGCAGTGCTAATCCACCTTTTCAGGATATGGAGGGATGATAAATAAACCTGGCCTCGTCAGCATTGGCTATATCCTGAGAACAAATTAAAAGAATTGGTCATTTATCAAATATCCAGTTCCCAATATAAGTGTTGCAGAGACAGAAAATAAAAATCAGTTGAGATGGCGCAACTTTTAAAAATGCAGTCAGCAAACAGACACCAGAATCATTTTCCACATGAACTTCTGCCACACATACATGCATGAAAGTCAAATCTTTGAGATCAATTTTTTTTTTTTTTTTAGGTAAAAAGCAGACTCTTACATGGGTAATTTGACAGTTTGGTAGACATACTTGATTTGAACTGATGTAAAATGCAAGAAAGACTATCACAGGTTAATAAAGTAAAAATCCACACATTTAAAAAGTTCATATTAATTATTCAATGCTTGTTTTTATAATTTTCCAAGCTATATACATTTCATTCATATCAATTATCAAACAAACAGTTATTGATTTTACAACTTTATGAACTGCAGGCATGTACAATGAAACCAAATCATCATTTCCAGGATTACACTTAGGTTCTGAAATGTTTGAGCTTTAATCTCTGCATAAAACAGGGTCAACCTTACATGAGGTGCATTGAAAATCACGTTTTAGACCAAAAACCTTGGAGTTCACTTTTACACACGGCCCTTAAATGAGAATAAATGGAATTTTATGAATGTTGTTCTTGCAGATTAAAATGAATTTCTGGCCATAGTTCTTCCAACCACTGCTGAAAATCGATCTACAGGCAGTAGACAGTGATTTGTTGGCTCATAAAATGGGAAAAGGGCATTCTGCTTCCAGAATGGAACAGGAAATACCTGTATCCAGGGTTTTGGCATTCTACTTGCATTTCCACCAAGTAATAAATGCTACAGTTCATCTGTGTTTTAGGATAGATGAAATCAATGAGCAAGTTGGTACTGATTTTAATAATACCACAATAACGGTGGTGGTGGTGGTGGTGGTGTGGGGTGGGGGGGGAGGTGCGGGAAAGAGGAATTAAAACATAAAACCATCTGTACTTCATTATGTGGTTCAGTTGGTATTCTGCATGCATTAACCTTCCAACAAGACATTTTTACTTACCCGGTTTTTGTGCGCATTGATTGATGCATAACGCACTGTGCCTCTGAACCCTGCTACTACTCGAGGCTGAAAAAAATTAAGAAAAACAGAATAAATGATTTTTAATATTTTTGATGAAATTTACTACGTGACATGATTGAAACAAACGTACATTCATCAAATTCTGAAGCACAGCGAATCCACTAACGCACTATGGCAGTTATCTTGCAACAAGAAGGAAAAACGTCTTTGCAAGTCAATAAATATTGTGTAAGTTAATCTATGTGAATTATGAATTAATGAATTAATCTATACAAATGTAAATTGTTTACTTCCTAGTATGAGTTGTTAAGCAGTAAGCCCAGTTCAATTGCTGCAATTATAGTTTTACAAATCAGGCATGGACAGAAGTCTCTTATGGAATGCTCCAGCACAAGGCAAAGCTTATTTGTCCCACAAATTTCAATCTTTTTTAAATACTTGTTGTGGTTTACTATGGTGAACTACTTGGAATGTCATTAGCCAGCATCCGTTTCAAATTTCTTCAGTAGATAGAAACTGATCTTATTCTTGTAACCCTGGAGACCAAAGCTTGGTCAAAGAAACAGATTTTAAGGAGTTCCTTTGGAGAAAAGAAAGGTAGAATGAGAGTTATACGGATGGAATTTTAGTGTTAAGGGCTTTGGCAACTGAAGGTCCAGCCACAAATGATGGAGCAATTCCAACTGGGGATGCCCAAGATGTCAGAATCAGACCAAGACACATACCTGAGTGGGTTGTAACGTTGGAAAAAATTGCAGCAATGGAGGAGAGCTATTTGAAAACATTGATCAGAATTTGAAAATTAAAACATTGCTTCAGAGAGTCAATGAACGCAGGGATGACAGTTTAACAGGACTTAACTTAGGATACAAGCTGGGAAATAGAAATTCAACTGCATAGTTATTAATTTGGCTAATTCTTCACATGTATTGCTGCAAATAGCCAACATGTCCACCATTCAGCAGGAAAAGTAAATATTTGAACAGCAGGATAGGCAAACACCAATACATTAAATGTGGAATGAGCTGCTATTCCAATGAGCAGCACATTCACAAGTAGTGCAGTAAAAGTAGATCAGAAAAGAGAAAAAAATCAGAATTTAAGTAAGAGTCCGTTACTATTAGAAAGGACCTGATCAGGTAATGCAAAACATACAACAGTGAAAATTTACCACATTTTCAATAATTTTCCACAAAACTAATATTTCTGGCGTGTTCTGGATGATGGATAAGGATACACAAGATAAAAAAAAAGACAGAACTTGAACACTTTGAAAGGTGATTGAGCATTTTTACTGGGGTGAAAAATCTCTTTCACATAATTAATGAAGATGAAACAAAAATGAAATCTGAATAGTTACAAATGACTCCAATCATAATATTTACAGACTCAAGCGCTAGTAAATATGGTCAGTGTAGGAAAATTGTTAAAGAGATTAAGCCTTTTAAATAAATGCATTCAGAATTTACAACAGATGAATGATTTGATAGCACATTAAAAATAAATGATTATAACAGGATAGCTGCTGTAAAGACATATTTGCAAAGTGACCCCTATAGTAGCTGAACATGCAAGGCTTTTAACATTTAGGAAGGATAGGAAATTAAGATGGAGCGGAGCAGCTCATTAATCAAGAGTGAGGTCAGTACAGTCATGAGAAATAATCAACAGAAAGTTCAACATTGATTATCAGTGCAGTGACTGGAACGAAGTTGGCCATGTACTTCATTGAATAGGAGTTCCCCAGTTGGGGCTATTAACTTGGGTCAAGCAGAAAATCCTGGCTGACAAACAAACAGGAGTGTCAGAGTCTCTTCTCATTCTAGGGACTGGCTCTGAGCCAGGCGGTCAGATTCCATGTACTGACCAATTCCATGTACTGTCCATATAAATAAAGGGTGACTTGGTGACTTGATGACAGGATACCGGCCTCCGTGAAGTTATTTCAGTGGAACCAGAGAACAGTACACTCCTGAAGGGAGTTCACTCGCAACAGTTGGCTTCAAGTTGGGTAAGCATTTCTAGCATCATGCCATTATTTGGGAAGCTTGACTCGTTCGATCCTGGGCCCAGTATGTGGGAAGAATGCATTACTTTTTCCCCGGCAAATGACATTGGGGCAGATGAAAAGCAACAAGTAATTCTTCTGACTGCTTGCAGACCCGCAGCATTTTTGGTTATTAGGAGCCTAGCTTTCACCGAGGGTCCAGATACTAAAACCTTTCAAGAATTGATGGATTTAGTTAAGAAATACTACAACTCCAAGCCTCCTCTAATTCTAAGATACTATTGGTTTTACTCGGCAGTTCAAGAACCAGGGGAACCCATGTGGGGATTTTTGACGAGGTTAAGATGGCTAGCAGAGGCACATGATTTTGGGTTAACCTTGAATGAATAACCATGCAAAACGCCTACACAGCTGAACCCCAACTGGACATCAAACAAACACTACAGTTGGCTTTGCCATTAGAAAATGCAGCAAGTGGAGCACGTAAGCTGCAGGGTAACCCGATGATAGTAGATACACTCACCTGTTCAAGAGCTTGGGGAACACCACTTGGAGTGTAGACAAGCAGACAACCTCATGCAAGACATATCCTGTTCAGAAGTCATACACCACCAGATTATAGTCCAACAGGTTTATTTGAAATCACAAGCTTTCAAAGCGCTGCTCCTTCATCAGGTGACTTCAATTAAACCGATGACGTGTGACTTCTGGCCTTGTCCACCCCAGTCCAACACCGGCACCTCTACATCAGGACATATCCTGAGCAGAGGGACCCTCGATCAGCCCACAGCAAAACCCTAAAACAAAGCTAAGCCTTGGCCAACTGGCTGAAATGTTCATCAGGATGTGGGCCAGAAAGCCACTGTAGTGGCTGCCGGTATGGACTCAAGACAGCAAAGGAGTCCTCGGAGGCCTGACTTGAGCAAGGGAACTCAAAGCCTGGAATCCAGGAGTGCACACTGTGGAAAGTCCACCTACATGAGGTTTGGAACACTTAAATTGCTTAGCAACATCCAAATCCGAACCAATCAAAATAAACGTCTGGTTAAATGGTCACCCAGTTCTAATGGAGGTCAATATCAGCACAGCTAATTAATCAGTGATTGCAGAACCAGTCCTTTAACAAGATTTGCTCTGGACTCCAACCCTTAAGTTTGCACAAGACCTCAGCGAGACCAAGAACATATACCAGGGAACCATTACAAATTAAGGCTACAACTACAGTTCCTGTGCGCCATGAGAAGCAGTTGATGCAGTTACCACCAATTGTAGTTAAAGGCTCCGGCCCAAGCTTGATGGAGCAAAATTGGTTGAGAAAGATTCATAAAATAGCTGCCTGCATGAAGTCCTAATTAAATACCTAGAAGCTTTATGGACTATCAAAAGGAACCAAGGCCACCTTGCATGTTGACCAGGAAGCAATTCCGTGATTCTGCGAGGTATGCCCAGTGCTATTTGCCTTGTGTACAAAAGTAGCAGCAGAAATCAGAAGGCTGGAAAGGGAAGGAATCATCAAAACCAGCATAGTTTGCAGAATTGGCAACATGGGTCATATTGACTGCGAAGCCTGATGGCTCGTTCACCTTTGTTAAGGCATTTTAAGCAAATGATAAACTGCTTCTTGCAGCTGGATAAATACCCAATCCCTCACAAAAGTAGCTTATTGTAAAAGTACTACCTTAGAGGGCAAGACTGAGAAATGGATAATGGTAAACAGGGAAATGGCAGAGATTTTGAACAAGTATTTTGTTTTCACAGTAGATGGTACAAAAAGCATCTTAAGAATAGTAGAAAACCAGCATTCAAAACCGAGACAGCAACTTAAAACAATCGCAACAGCTAGGAAAACTAACGAACGATAAGTCTCTCAGATCAAATGTTCCGCTTTTGGAGTCTCAAAGGAAGTGGTTACAGGGATAACTGATCCATTAATTGCAATCTTTAAAAATTTCCTAGATTCTGGAAATGCCCCAGTGGATTGGAAAGCTGCAAACGTAACACTTTTGATCAAATGGAAACGGACAAAAAACAAAGAAAAAAATTCAGTTAAGTCTGACATCTATCATTGGGAAAATGTCAACATCCAGAGGTGGTACCAGAATGTTAACATAATCATAAATCAATCAATAGGGTCAACATGGTTTTGTAAAAGGACCAAGAGTTCTTGTCAAATTTACTAGAGCTCTTTGAGAATGTAACAGGGTGGATAACAGGAAACTAGTAGATGTAGAGTATTTTGCTATCCATAAAGCATCCCAGAAGTTGCCACATAAAGGTTATTGCAAAAGATAAGAGCTGAAACTGTTGGGAGGTGATATAATCAGCAAGGACTGAGGATTAGCCAACTGTATGACAGAATGCCATGGGGGTCAGTGTTAGAATTTCAACTATTTGTGCTCTATATTCATAACATGGATAAAAGGAGAGAAATGCTTACATTGGAAGTAGTCAGAGAAGGCTCACTGGGTTGATTTGGGGTTTGCCCCAAATATTTGAGCAGGACTGCTCAAATTGTTGGGGTTTAATTGGGGTATAATTGTTGGGTTTAGAAGAAAACAAGCTGATCCTATTGAAAAACAGAATTCTGAAATGTTTGACAGTGTAGAGATGGAGAGGATATTTCCTCTCAAGGGAATCTAGAACCAGGGGCACAGAATAAAACATTAAAGATGGAAATGAGGAAGAATTTCTTCTCAGAAGGTTGATACTCTTTGGAATGCTGTTTGTCAAAAAGCAGTGGAGACTTGGTCATTGAATACATATTCAAGGCACAACTGACTGACAAGGATGTCAGTGGTTATGGGGACAGGGAGCAAAGTGGAGTTAAGCACATACCCATATCAGTTGTGATTTATTTTGAATGGCTGAACAAACACAGACTGAATAGCTTAGTCCTGCTTCTATTTCTTACAATCACATTAAGGAGAAACACTCCTCTGCATCTGGCTGTCCTATATCCAACTGCAAATGATAAAAACACTTGCCTACTGATTATGTCTGGTGTTCCACCGTTTGAATAACGGTGCTGAAATAATTT